CATTTATTGTCTTATTTATAAGTTTGTTTATCATCTTGTTTATAATATCGTTTATTGGCTTATTTATAAACTCGTTTATCGATTCTTTTATAAGATTATTTATTCGGTTCTCCTTTTTCTTTTATTTTTTTACATTTTAAATATTGATAAATATAGGGACTAAATTGAATATAAGGTAAACTTTGAAGTTCAAATTATAAACTCCATAAAATATAAGGAGTAATTACACCATTTTTTGCAAAAGAGAATGTTGATTATCAAATATTAAACAAACGTTAAATGAACATGTTTACAGATGTTAAACGAACATGTTCACGAACATTAAACGAATATATTCGTGAACTTTAAATGAACAAATAAAAATACCTACAAAAATAATAAACGAACAAGAATACAACACTAAAAATTTAATTGAATATAAATGGAACATAAACACATCTTCAAAGTTAAACAAACAAGGAGATACACAACTTTACTAATTCGAGATTGCTTTGTTGGCCATGTTCCACAAAGAATGGGTTATTTTGGCGGCTAGAACTCTAAATTCTGATGAGCGAAGAGACCTTGATCTGCCATTCAAAAACCAGTTCTACCTCCAACCACCCACTCCATAATAGGGATGGGCATAGGTAGGGTGGGATTAGATTTCCGACAAACCTGACTCGATCCGAAAAAAATGTATACTCTCCACTCTAAATTTGACCCGACCTAGTTTAGGGTAATTTCATCTAACTCGAAATTGGATTCAACTTTTGAAATAAAACCCGGCCCTGACCCTACTCTAAATAATATAAAATTATTGATTTTATTGAATAAAATAATAACTTAATTGAAAATAAATAATATAAATAAGGGTATTATTATAATTATCTATAATATATAATGTATAATTCTATTATTTTTGGGTTAGGTTTGATATTTTTTACCATAAACCCGAATTCGTCCCGAACTTTTCCTCTAAAAAAATATGACCCGACTTGAACCCAAAATTTAAACAAAAATCAATTCAATCAAGTCGAGTTTCGAGTCAAAACCCGTTGAGTTCGGATCTTGTATCCATCTCTACTCCATAACATGCGGCTTAAAGGGTAAAAGAGTCTATTAAAGACTCGAAAAATATTTTAACATTCTCTTTTTAATTTTACACCACTAAAATTTTAATATATTCTTTTTAAATTTTTATTCTCATGTTTTTGGAGTACTCTAACCTACTTCATTCTTTTGTGTCGAGTGTTTTAACTTTTAAAAATACAAAACTTTTTTAAAAAGGAAAATTATTATCAGAACAGTACACAATACAGTGTGAACTTCACATTTAATAGCTGAGGCTCTAGAAAGATTGCCTAGGGGACCGGAGAATACACATACAGTGAAAAAAATGGATACAAAAGTTAGAAAATATATTTAAAATTATGAAATGAAATAATTTGTTAATGTTAACTGTTGCGGAATATGGCTATCGGATAGAGTAAAATTGTAATTGATAATTTGAGAAAATAAAAATGAAGATAAAGAAGACACAAACTTTACGTGAAAACCCCCCTAAATAATATAGGGTAAAAACCACGGACAACGGTAGAAGAATTTCACAATGAGAAAATAGGAATTACAACTTCTCTCGATCTAACAAGGAGAAAACAATAACAATTATCTCTTGATAAAAAGGAGAAAACAACTCTCAAGAAAACTCTCTAAATTCTCTAGTATTGTGAGAAAACTATAATGATTTGGGATGATTTTGAACCTAAATGGTTAGGTTATTTATAGTTGAAGCTTAAGGACTAATCTTGTAAATATCCTAAAGTCTAGAGACTAAAAGAGCAATTTTCCCATGTCAATTTTCAACCAAAACATGTTGCCTAACTTGGACCAATTTAGCGCTGCCAAATATTTTTCAATAATTTCTGCTTTGACTTTTCAATAATCTCTCACTTGAAGATTTGATTGGAACAATCATATCTTCACACCATTCTTTCTACCTTGTACCTCTTTGTTGTATTCCAATGCTCTTTGCCTGGATTCGTCATATACCGACTAACCATTCTCACTGCTTGTGCAATGTCTGGTCTTGTGCATATCATAGTGAACATTAAACTTCCCACTATAGATGCATACTACACTCGAGACATCTCCATCCTCTCTTATTCACTGCTAGGACTCATACTGGAGGATAATTTGAAGTTAATAGGAAGAAGGGTAGAAATTGTCTTACAATCTTGCATCTTGAATCGTGACAAGATCTTCTTCAAGTAATTATTTTATGAAGGTCAAATCTTCATATTACTTCTGTCTCGGTGAATTTGCATCCCTAGAATCTTGTTTGTTGATCCCAAGTCCTTTATTTCAAATTCCATAGCCAATTTTGCCTTCAATTCTTCAATATGATATTTGTTAGGTTCTACAACCAACATGTCATCCACATACAACAACAATATAACAAAATCGTTATCACCAAACCTCTTGAAATAAACACAAGGGTCTGCATTAAGTCTGTTGTATCCAAGGCACATAATGAAGGAATCAAATCTCTTATACCAACACCTCGACGCTTGCTTTAGACCGTACAGAGATTTGTTCAACCTACAAACCAAGTTCTTCTTTTTTTTTTCTTCAAAACCTTCAGGCTGGAGCATGTAAATCTCTTCTTCAAGATTTCCATGAAGAAAAGCTGTTTTAACATCTAGCTCCTCTAGATGTAAATTCAATGTAGCACACATTGTCAAGACTACTCGAACTATTGTTAGTCGAACCACAGGAGAAAATATTTCATTGAAATTAATACATTCTTTTTGAGCATATACTTTGACCACCAGTCTTGCACGATACCTCTCCACTATCATTACCATTTTGCTTGATTTTGAAGACCCATTTGTTACCAATTGGCTTCCTTCCTTGTGGTGGTGGCACAAGGTCCCATGTATTATTTTTATGAAGGACTTTAATTTTTTCTTGCATCGCCATCATCCATGGTGAAGCATCTGAGTTGTTTATCGCCTCCTGGAATGTTGATGGATCACCGTCCTTTGTTAAAAGGCAGTATGCAATATTTCCTTTTATAACATAATTTGAGTGTCAATTGGGACGTCTTCTCACATGATCTGATTGACGAGTTGTTGGAGCTTCAGAACTCTCTGGTTCTTGTTCATCATGTGTTGGTTCTGCTTCAGAAGAATCTCCTTGTTCAAACTTCTTTTCCACATGTATCTGTGTAGTCTTTGACTTTTTAGCGCTATCATCGTCTTCTTTTCTTTGTAGTTTATCTTCTACAAAGATAACATCTTACTGATGATCACTTTGCGGGCAGTGGGATCCCACAAGCGATACTCCTTTATTTCATCAACATACCTCAAGAATTTGCATTTATTGGATTTTTTTTTATCTCATATCTCTTTAGTTGTCTTCTTCTCCTCAATGCTTGACAATACTTCATCTGCTAATGCTAGATGAAATGCTAGATGAAAGTTTGTCATAGCATTCCCGTCTATCTCGTTCCATTTGTTGTCATCTGTGAAATCTACCGGCCTTCATCTTCAATTTCAACAATGAGAAATTTCTCCCATTGAACTTTTTAATATCAAATTTCGTTGCCATAGATTCTATTACGAATAGCACCATTATTTCATTATCATGAATAATTCTCTGGAACATTCAAAGAATGTGTAATAACTTCTTATTTTCTTATGTTGGAGGATCTACCTTTTGGTGGCAACCACAAAGACAATAAGTAGATATTACACGCTCAAATCTGGCTCTGATGCCAATTGTTGCGGAATACGGCTATTGGATAGAGCAAAATTGCAACTGATAATTTGAGAAAATAAAAATGAAGATAAAGAAGACACAAATTTTACGTGGAAACCCCCTAAATAATATAGGGTAAAAACTACGAACAACGGTAGAAGAATTTCACTACGAGAAAATAGGAATTACAACTTTTTTCGATCTAATAAGGAGAAAACAATGAAAATTATCTCTTGATAAAAAGAACAACTCTAAAAAAAACTCTCTAAATTCTCTAGTATTGAGAGAAAGCTAGAATAATTTATGATAGTTTTAAAACTAAATGGGTTAGGATATTTATAGTTGAAGTTTAAAGACTAATCTTATAAATATTCTAAAGTCTAGGGACTAAAAAACAATTTTCCCATACCATTTTTCAACCAAAACATACTACTTAACTTGGACCAATTTAGCCGCCGGCTGCCAAATATTTTTCAACAATTTATGCTTTGACTTTTCAACATTAACAAGTTATAAACAAAAGCCTTACGGGCTAGATCCATATGCTAAATATAATAAAGACGTTGTCGGGTGACAACTGACAACAATTCCATTTCTGAATTTCTGCCGCTGTTATTGCCCCCGCATGCTACGTTTAGCGCGTAAGAAGAAAGCCTAGGATCAAATCACAAAGGCCTTGGTTTCTTCTTCAATGAGTTGCACTGTAAAGGCTTAAGAGACCAACCAAGGCATGGGAGTAACGGCAAATGTTTCTTTGCGTGTTTCCCAGAAATCATTATGCTGTCAAATCTCTCAGAAGTCTGAAATTCCTAAGAATCAATGAAGGCACTCGGATCATAATTACTTCTTCATTGACCGGGGTCGTTTATTTAGGGGGGAAATCGAAGGAGAATAAAAGGAAATGGCAACTTCACGACTGCATTTATTTGGCACTAAATCTGCAATCTTTTAACTTCGCTAAGATTAGTTTCCTTTTCTAATTCTTTTGGTCTTTGCGAAATCTCGTCAAGATTTTGTAATCTGTATGGCTGGTTCAAACAAGAAAATATTAGCCAAACATGGAGAGTAGTGCACCAAAACAGAAACAATATGCGCAAACAGAATATATACCTTTCCTTTATGGTTGTCTTGGTAATGGTAATTCTGACGGCACAACCATAGGGTTTGAAGATGAGATTGTTTTAAGAATTTTAGAGACGTAAAAAAAAGCATTTTGGCAGAGAAAAGAGAAAAAAGGGTTTAAAATAAGGTAGAACAAGATGCCTTCAGCTTGGTTAATTAGTCTCAAGAAATCAGTTGACTGTAAATCAAACTTGTCTGGTGTCAAGGAACCCGTTGGAAACCACAACAGCAGTTTATGCGGTTCAGGGTGTTCAAGATCCTTATCAAATTTGAGAGATAGACTTCATGGAAGCAAGAGACACACGGACAAGGCACCTGTGGCAATTGGCAGCCCATATCTATTGCGAGCGCTGAGATTCTCAATCCGATAACACATCAAACAGTTTTCACAGGCTCTAAATGTGTTCTCGAGATTAAAACTCGGGGTTCTGGTAATGATAGTGGCAAGGGAAGTTCAACTTTTGTGGGAACCCTTAGCCCTGGTACACCGGGTCCTGGAGACCGCTTTATGGAGGCAGCCTACAGTGGCAGGAGGTCGAGGGGTCCTTCCATTTTGGGAGGTGGCTGTGGCATCTCTTCGAAGAGCAGGAGATCCCTTGATTTGGAGTACCAATTCTATGTTTGCCTGAAATGCAGCGAAAGTTTTGAAAATTTGGAAGCCATAGAATCACATCATCTCTCCAAGCATGCTGGTAAAGTTCATTACTCACGTATGCATGTGTGTCTGCATTTTTCCTCTGTTAATTATAGGAAAAACTGAAAGAAATTTCAAATGTTTAAATGATTTTTTAAAAAACCTGAAATTAAAGGGTAGATTTCCTCTATCACTTTGATTAGATTAGTATTTTAATTTCTTAAGGTTTTCATATTGAGACCAAACAGGTTATTTTATATTATGTAGTTCAAGTTATTGAAAAACCTAATAGTCATCTCATGTGTGCAGTTACAGCACTTTCCGAAGGAGACTCATCCAAGAAAATAGTGGAATTAATTTGCCAAACAGGTTTTTCCGAATCTGAAAATCAATTTGGTGAAATTGAAAGGATATTGAAGGTTCACAACATGCAAAGAACCCTTGCGCAATTCGAAGATTACAGAGAAATGGTAAAGCTCAAGGCAAATAAACTATCCAAGCAACATCCACGCTGCCTGGCTGATGGGAATGAGCTTTTGAGGTTCTATGGCACAACTGTCGCATGCTCTCTTGGCTTGGAAAACACTCTAAGCCTATGCACATTGGAGAAATGTGGTGTCTGTCAAATTCTAAGATGTGGGTTTTTCAGCAAGAAGGAACCAAAGGGATACTGGGGTGTTTTTACTTCTTCCACAAGTAAAAGAGCTATGGACTCTATTGAACTTGATGAAGGAATCCTTAGTTTAAGGAAAGCTCTGGTCGTGTGCAGGGTAATTGCCGGTAGGGTTCTTAAACCTTCAGAAAATTTACAGGAAATGGCAGGTCAATCAAACTTTGATTCACTTGCTGGAAAATCTGATTGCCATTCGAATATCGATGAACTCTATTCACTAAGCCCTAAAGCTCTCCTCCCTTGCTTTGTTGCAATCATTTGAAAAAATTGATTGCCCATTCAAATATTCAAAGAACCCTATTCACTACATAAGTGCTCATTTTATCTTAGTAATATATTGGACTGATTAAACATATTATCTATGTGCATTGAGGCCTATTTTCTTTCTTCAACCTTCTTTGTGATTATTCATTCTTACAGTTATTAGTTTCTTCTTTTCTGAGATTTTTCTTCTCTCTAACATCAATTATACTGAATTGTCATGATACTGCACCAACTCTAGAATTCTTAGCCATGCTTTGATTTCCAGCTTAACAGCTTGTAGTTTCTTATAGTGAAACTGCCTCGAGGATTGTTGGTGCCAAATAAGTCAGTTTGGACATCAACAATACTGCTATTTGAGCAACCCTCGTCCCTTGAATATTTGATAAAAGAAGTTGCTTACGAAAAAGGGTGCATTTGGCTAAGCTAATTTTTGTGGGAGTATTCGTGTGAAGAGTAGCAAAGTTGATTGCCATAAGTTAGTCTAGTATCCTTTGCATGTACCAAAGCATGCTAGTTGCTTGGATGGTAATTCTTAATCGTTTGCCAACCCTGAATAGATTGTTTGTTAGGGGAATGGAGATTGATGAAGATCGCAACTTGTGTTCTACTGAAACTGAAACTCATAATCACCTATATATTGGGTTCCCTTTCTCCAAGGAAGAACAACATTCCCTTCGATCACTGAGGCCACTTAATGGATTCAAAAATGTAGAAATTAGTTACACACCTTGAAAATTATGAACCTACAATTTCTTCTTTGAATGATTGTAAAGATGTTTCAAGTATTATCATTGAAGAACTTCAAACTGCAAAGATACAAAAAGCAAAGAGATGCTCAACATAAAAATAAAAGCTACAAGTTTTGACATGAATATAGAAGTATGAAGAAGTTATATCACAATAAAAGAGCAATACCATGATATGGAATAGGCGATTTGGGTGATTTCATCATAATATTTATGTCTCTAAAAAATACTTAGAAAATTATATCTCATAGTATTTGGAGTTATGATTTAAAATATATTAAGAATCAATTAAAGATATGCAATTGTGACATTATATCTTTTTATCATTTTTGGAATGTTACAATTTGGGTGCAAGCAAGTATGTAGCTCGTAAGAAAGATATAATTGGGGATGCGAATCGTAGAAACAAATAACTCGTGCCTTACCTAATTACTGTGACTAAAAGCAGTAAACCAGCTAACCAGGGAAGAAAGTTAGATCGAGGTGGTTGTATTTTTGGGTAGCCATTCACCCAGCTACCCCCTTTTGCTTTCTACTTGCATTTTTAGGTTTCACCAATGTTAATTTCCACTTATGTTTCATGTTGTACTTATTTTACAACAGAGGTCAGAGGGATTTATTTTCTATAATTTTATAAGTTGGAAAAGGAAAGAGTGATTCGAGGTTAAGATTTCAGTTCTCTTCAACATGAACAAATGATACAGTTTTTTTTTTTTACAACAAAGGTTGACTTTTTGAGACTTTGGTATGCACAAGGTCACATGCTCACCTAATATCTAGTCTCGCTTTCACCCCAGAGACCAACGTGTATATAAGCCTAAAGCTCACTCCACCACGATAAACTGAAAGAGAGGAGTAGAAACATAACACAAACTAAGACATAGGAAAGCATAATGGCTAGCCAGATCGTAGGAACAAAGAAAGCTTGTGTCGTGGGTGGGACTGGATTCATTGCATCTTTGCTAGTCAAGTTGTTGCTTGAGAAGGGTTACGCCGTCAACACTACCGTCAGGGACCCTGGTTAGATCTTCTTCATTTTTGTTTTTCTTTTTTGATCCATGTCCCTTTTCATTTGGCTTGCTTACGGGAAGAAAATTTGCTCCGTCCCTCTTACAAGTAATGTTTTTAGTACTATTGTACTACTTATGATCAGATTATAACTACCTAACTCCCTTGTATTTATTGCTTTGATTTGGTGGACACTAGTTTGGTTTTTAATTATACATCAATGGGGTTAATTTCATGCAGCCAACCAGAAGAAGATCCCTCACCTTGTAGCACTTCAGAAGTTGGGAGACTTGAAAATCTTTCCTGCAGATTTAACTGATGAAGGGAGTTTTGACGCCCCTGTTGCTTGTTGTGACCTCGTCTTCCATGTTGCAACACCCGTTAATTTTGCTTCTCAAGATCCAGAGGTGTTACCTTAACACCATTAAACTGCTTTTTCATTGATGATCATTCATCATATAACTAGGTTGCTTGCTTTATGTTTTTTTTTTTAAGAATGACATGATAAAACCGGCAATCCAAGGAGTGCTGAACGTTTTGAAAGCTTGTGCCAAAGCAAAAACAGTTAAACGTGTCGTCTTGACATCGTCAGCCGCGGCTGTCTCAATCAATGCCTTAGCCAAGACAGATCTGATCATGACGGAGAAAGACTGGACCGATACCGACTTCTTATCATCTGCAAAGCCACCAACTTGGGTAACAATTTGATGTTAACACATAATATCTATCTTACGATCAAGCAAAAAGATAGCTGTTGTAACTTGTAAGCTGTATCCATATATGCAGGGGTACCCTGCATCTAAGACGCTGGCTGAAAAGGCAGCTTGGAAATTTGCGGAAGAAAACAACATCGATCTCATTACAGTTATCCCTTCTCTCATGACCGGTCCTTCCCTCACCCCAGATGTGCCCAGCAGTATCAACCTTTCTACGGCTTTGATTTCGGGTACTAAATCAGAACCTAATGTTTTGGCTTTGTAAAACCGCTTAAACAAAGAAGTGGATGGAGCATCATAGACTATATTTGATGGAATTTCAACATATTGCAGGCAATGAGTTCCTCATAAATGGCTTGAAAGGTATGCAGATGCTGTCGGGTTCGATCTCTATCACGCATGTGGAAGACGTATGTCGAGCCCATGTCTTTCTGGCTGAAAAAGAATCCGCGTCGGGTCGATATATATGCTGTTCTTTCAATTCCAGTGTGCCCGAACTCGCTAAGTTCCTCAACAAGAGATACCCCGAGTTCAAAGTCCCTACTGAGTAAGAGGCAATATGCATGCATTGAAAAAGTTGAGTTCTTTAAGGGAGAATTGTGGTTAACATGGTTTGTTTACTTTATATCGATTGCAGTTTCGGAGATTTACCGTCCAAAGCCAAGTTGAGCATTTCCTCGGAGAAGCTTATTAATGAAGGGTTCAGCTTTAAGTTTGGGATCGAGGAAATCTACGACCAAACTGTGGAATATTTGAAGGAGAAGGGGGTGCTCAAGTGAAGGGTTGTGAGAGTTCCCTACTGATTGTGGTGTTTGGTGGCTCGAGATCTATGTTGTGTTTTGGTGATGATATTGGAATAACTTCGTGTCCTACAAATTAAGCAAATATCGTATCATCTGTTTTTATTATGACTAAACTCCATGCATATCTCAACTCTTTAGTGGGCTCAAAACAAAATATTACTTAGCTGGGCTCAGAGCAAAACATAAACTGTTCGGTTCTTAATAATAATGAGAAAAAAGAAAAAGAGAAACTAATACACGAACCGACTTTAAGGAAAAAAATAAAATAATTGAATTAATCTAATTTAGTTTATTAATTGATTTAACAGAATTGATTTATTTGGGTCTAGAAAATACTATTAAAAATTTGGGGTTGAGAATAATTTTTTTAAAGAAATCGTTAATTTTATTTAAAATATGAAATATCCTGAATTATAATAAATATTTATAATCATAATCGTAAATAAACATATGACAGTTTCCTATAATCATCGAAACAAAACTAACAACTTAAGATTATATAAGGAGCATACATGGAAAGAATAAAATCTAACAAAGAAAGCTCGAACAAAAATAGATACAAATATATCTAATCACATCGGCAAATAAACCACAAAAGGGGATCAAGTTATTAAAAGACTACAGGCAAACCGTAAATTAGACTCGAGTGACGTGAAAAGCTATCCACGAACGCATAACGGGTATCCAAATCTAATTCTAGGTCTGCAGCAGGGAAGATCAACAATAAAACAAATAAGCGTTACTTTGATCAGTCGTAGCGATATCAAATCAACTCTTTGAAAAAGATAAGTGAAAATAACGATCAAACGGGTAAAAATCGTGCCAAAAAAAATATGTCATAAAGGCAGATGAAAGCATATTATACAAGCAGATTTATTGAAAAGAAAAAACAAGAGAAAATAAAAGAATGATAAAAATTACTGACGATCGACAACTAACATTAAAATTGATATCATCGTTAATAAAAAAAGAGACGAGGGGCTTACCAATGACAAAAAGAAAAATTAATATGTAGAATTTTATCATACTCATTCTGCAACTGAATTTTTTTTTATTCAAATTTATCAAAAGTAATTCAACTTTAAACATAATAAAAAAGTATCCTAAAAGAAATTATGATTTCTTTGATTTTATGCATAATAAAAATCTTGGTCTGGGTCAACTTCTCTGTTTCTTTTTTGGTGGGATACAGAAATTAAAGATCCAGCCCCATTATGGCTTCTTTTTACCCACTCGGGCTCCATGGAAACGGAAAATGACAGAACTCAATCCTTTGGTTTTGGTCAACAAGAATTATCCCAACTAAAATGTAAAAGAAAGAAAAAGAAAGCAGAATGCCCTCGAATAGCGTGCTTCATCAAAAATACTTCACATTGTTTCCAAGCTCCAGTTTTATATATCCTGTTTCCCTATGACTTTTGCAATATTTTTTTTACAAGGGACGTGCACATTGCATCTATACGTTTTTAGTTTGACAGTGTCATCGGATGTTATTCCTTTCTCTTTCATGGTTTCAACTTCTTTTTTTGGGTGGGAAATACCAAATTTCATATCCCACTTTCAATGCAACTATGTAAAACAACATATACCAACCTATACCAAATTACCCATTTCTAAAAACATTTTAAGTGTTTTTTAGTGGCACAGTTAATGGCAGCATGCAATTTCTTTTACCATAGCAACTGCAACTATAAGAACTTCCGATATTGTTTTAAAAATGCCTAGTTTGCTTCCGATTCCCTCCATGCCTTTCTCTATCGACTCTCTACTAACAAACCTTGTCTCTTGTGCTCAATTGTCTATTTGACCAACTACTACAGCACCATCTTCTTCCAACAAGCAACTTCTCGACGTCCTTTGTTCTCTTTTTTGGTTCAGTCTCAAGAAGAAGAAAAAAGTGCTCCCCTTTTTTAAAACACCACCTTTCTTTTTTGTTGGTTTTCAATTTTCACCTTTTGTTTATCTAGACAATGCAAGCCTGCTGTGATCTTGAAGTGGATGTCGACGGTGGAGAGGTTTTTATAGTAGACAAGGTAAAATCAACTTCAAGTTTTTGTCGGTAGAGAAAATCATAAATATCAATTTCTTTCGGCGTGTTTAACTCCAATTTTCAGCTTCTGTGATTTATTGTGTTCACTTGAAGTCAATTGTGTTGCTGTTTTGTTTACTCTATGCGTCTTTATTTCTTCTGTTTTTTTTCTTCTTCTTGTAAGTTATTAATATCACCAAGGATCTTGGCCACTCTTCTAGATTACAGAAGAAACAGGAGCACTCTTAAATTTATTGTTGACGGTACTTCTTACCACACAAATTTCTGTCATTTTTAGGTTCATTTATAGCTTTTTGTTGAGTTAGTTACCGTTTGGCGTTTTGGGGTTAAAAATGAAGTGCATAAAATGTTTCTCTTCATATCATCCTACAATGTGCTATTAATTCCCCTTGAATTTGTTTCTAAAAGCAGAAAACTCTTGCATCTTTCTCAAAAAGATTCGTCAAATTGTTAGGTAATTTGATGGATAATAAAAGGGACCTGAAAGTTGTATTTGATGACTGTCCTGGGGGAGCCGAGGGGTTTGAGCTCGTAGCAAGGTTTTGTTATAACAACAGGAGAACTGAGATAACTCCTGCCAATATAGTCTTACTAAATTGTGCAGCACAATTTATGGAGATGGATAGTGATGGCCCCAGGCCTAGCTTGTTGAACCAAACCAAAAGGTCTCTAGATGGCATTAGCTTCTGGTCCTGGTCTGAGCTCCTTGTAGCTTTGAAAGAGTGCCAAGATTTGCTTTCTCCTTCGAAACCTTCGCTAATACTTGATAAAGTCCTGGATTGTGTTATAGGAAGGCTTGTCTCTCCTGTTGTTGCAAGTCCATACACATCTTCCTCAGAGAACTCAAGTTTCCGGTGTTCATCTAATACAAGGAGCAACTGTAGTATCAGAAGCAATCCCTCTCATGTATCTTGGTGGTTTAAGGATCTTCTGTTTTTGAATATTGATTTGATTGATAAGGTAATGAAAATGATGGTATCCCAACATTTTGATCATGCTACAATAATTAAGTTCCTCTTTTGTTATCAAAGATCGAGATTTCTTATTGCCACCCCAAGCGAGAAGTGCAGAATCATGGAGGTCATAATCAAATTGCTTTCTTCGCTTGATAGGAGCTCCCTTTCTTGCAAGCTCTTATTTGATATATACCGAGTAGCTTCGAGTTTGAAAATTAGCAGACATTGCAAATCCATTTTGGAAAATCTTATTGGTTTACAACTGATGTGAATCTTCTTTTGATCATGCTACAATAATTAAGTTCCTCTTTTGTTATCAAATTACATGTATGATGTGAATCTTCTTTGAGGCTAGTAAATGCTTTTCACAATGAACTAAGTCCTCGCTTATCCTCGGTTCGATTAAGAAAAGTTGCTAGCTTACTCGACTCATACCTTGTGGAAGTTTCAGCAGATTCGTACCTGAACCCTTCAAAGTTTGCAGCATTAGTCCTTCTGCTGCCAGATTCTGCAAGAGAATCCCATGATAGGCTTTTCCAAGCCATAGACATTTATCTACAGGTATTGCTATCAACTTATAAATATTTGCCCTTGTTATAAAATTAGTTGCTTTGCGTAAAATCTTATAGCAAAACTGATTCTCTATTTTTCTTACAATTGAAGTATTGATATTGGTTGAGTGTATCCCTTATAAGTTGCATGTCTATTTGTTAGGGCTCAATTAATTCAGGCTTGTAATTTTGAAGTAAATTCATTGGATAAACAAACGATTACGGCAAAAGTTAAAACTGATATCTAAAGTTTATTGACTGATGAAATTTCTGAACAGATTCATGGTGGAATATGTGAAGCACAGAAAATGAGAATCTGTAGTGCACTTAACTACGCAAAGCTCTCGACAGATGCATTGAGAGACTTGGCTCGGAACTCAAAATTTCCATCAAGAATAGCTATACATGGTTTCCTTAATCGGCAGTCCAAGCTTGAAAACTTACTTGAACGACAAAAACATACCAGCACCTTTAGTGGTTCCATCTCTACCGAGGAAAGTATCAAAGAGAGAGAATTCCGATCAAATCCTTGCGTATGCAAAACGATTCGGTGTTCCAGAGAAAGCTGAGCAACTTGATGTACATCTGCAAGGAATGCAATGCAGGGTAACAGAACGGGAGAAGTTTTGTGGAATAATGCACGCTCTCAAATAGGAAACATTCCAAGAACAAGATTATCCAGCCTGGGTAATAACGCTAGATTCTTGCCAAAACTATGTTCTTGAAAACATATCCTTGCCTCCAGGCTCCAAAGTCTTTTATAGTTTGCCCCTAAATTGTTTTTGAAAATATCTGTACATCCTGAAGCCAATTAATGTAAAGACAGATTATTCTTGTTAGAATTCTTTGTAAAAGAGTAACCAGCGGATTGAATTTTTTTATATTCGACGATGTTCAATTTAGTTTCTTTTCTAGATTAAATATAAATGAAATATGAAAAGAAGTCAAAAAGGAAGTTCTAGGTTCAGGGTCTTACCAACAAACGACTAACAACAGTTTGTAGAATGTCAATGGAATGTGGTTAACAAAGCAGTCTTTGTTGAACATCTCAAACTCTATCAGTCGCCACTTTTATCATTTATTTCCAAGAAAATCAACTGCGTCAGATAGAAAATTGCTGCCAGCTTGTGGCAAACCAGAGCAAAGCATTTCCATTACTGTTTAATGGAAGTTCAATTGTACTTGTTATGAAGTTGAGAAAGCATCTTAAACAAAAGTCAAAATAAGCCGGTATGATAAAATAACAGGAATGATCGAAATTGCATCGTCATCTAACTGCATTAAAAACGAAGTGTTGAAGATACCAGAAAAATAGAGAAAATGTCAATATCCAAGTCATTTGTTAACCCAAGAATAGAACAAGAGAGAGAAAGCATTAAGAAAAATAATGGAGGTTTCTAAAGGAATATCCGTTTTGAGTCACTCCCACAGCCAAGGCAGGCTGCGAAGTATGCGGCGAAGTGCACGCGTGGTTACGGGGCTCGCAGCAGGAATGCTGATTTAGGAGCCCCAGGGAGTATGCGCCGAGTTGATTTTTGTAAGCTATAT